TAATGTTTAATGTGCTCTTAGAAGATATTTTGAAGTTTTTATCAACACTTTCCAACAATATCAGCACTTAAGAACAGGGCTTTGGAGTAAGGTCATGATCATTGATCCAGCTTCATCTCCAGCCAAACGTTTAATTTTAAGTACAGTGGGTGATCAGTTAATGAACCACAAAAATATATGTAATTGTACAATTATATCTAGGTTCACAAGATACAATTCTACACACACTTCTCAAGTTCTCACTGTTACAATACTATAGTCACAGATAGTTCACACGCCGTAATCCAGTTCGTTGCAGGAACAAAGAAACCACAGTAGAGAAGAATATTTTATAATGTATGACAATGTTTCCTTATAGATATTCAGCGACACACATCACTTGAAGGGCACTAAATATTGTCTAAGACCCATGAAAAAACCCGAGACATAAATTGTTGATGGATCTTGATTATGATTTGTACTGTGCCTCACGCACCTGAAAACGGTCCTTGACTTAACCAATGCTTCATACAATTCACCGATCTCCTGAAGAGGAAAAAAACAAAAGCCTCATAACAGTCGACGTCGTCTTAAATATTCCTCCTGTGCACTTAACAGGTTGCCAATCCTTTTTCTCCACTGCAGAAGAATAGCCAAAAAAAATATATATATATATATATATGGCAGAAAGCTTCAACAACACAGTATAAATACATATTTGACTTTGAAAAGTTATTACATGCCTACTTATTTTTGACCAAATTTACTGATAAAAAATATCAATTATCAGTATATCCTCTGCCACATAGTGCCATACCAGTGGCATGCCATGACATTTGATGATAGGGAAGCTGTGTTTCTGTAAGAAGCCGACTTCCAGGGGCAATCAGTCAGTGATGGTCTAAGGTCCATTCGTATTCGTTTGTTCGATAAGCCAGTAAAAACCATAGACTTCACTAAATGTATTTTTAATTAATAGATTATCTAACACACAATAAATAAGCAAGTTCAATATAATTACCTCTGTTCAATAGATTCACTATGCCCTCTAAATGCCAATTCTTGCTTTGATAACATCTATTAATTTAGATATAATATATCTATTAGCCATAACTTTTGTTATAATTTTCAATATTTATTTTATATTGTTTACTAATGTTAAATCCTATTCTATTTTGATTTCCAAATTGCTTCAATTTTATGAAAGAATCGATGATTTTTCATGTCTTTTGCCAGCTTTAGGCTAGGACTCCACTACCGTAAAAACAGCGTAAAAATCCCTCGACGTAAAAGCTTTTAACCACGTGACCCTGATATCTTACGCTTGAGCAGGCCGTAAAACCAGCGTAAAAGCGAGTTGAGCTATGTTCAACTTTAGACACGAATACGACTGTAAAACGGTACCTTCAACCAATCAGAAGTCAGTGGAACTACGTCATCGCAACACGAAGCTAAAATGGCGGAAAACGAGCTTTTGTGTACGTGCCCTCGTGGCTACTCTAGAATAGATCCAGAAAGATATATCGAAAACATCCGAAAGTATTCGTGTATCTACGACAAGAGGTAACTCGATTATAATAATGGATATCAAAGGAAATCCTTCAATTTAGAGGAGTATATAATAAAAAAGCTAAGCATATAAGTGCTGTATATTATCTTAATAATACGATAATAAAAGTTAGTATATGAAAGTAAAGATATTATTTTTACTACATTTGTAATTATAGTGCAGAAAAAATTCGTAGAATATAATCATTGTCTTTATATCGATACATCACGTATACAACCGTCTTTCATTTCTACCAATTCACACGTGCGAAGAAGTATTTACTTTCGACACTTGGAGCAGCACCGTCGCCGTAAAAACTTCATGCTGGCCGGACCTCCACCGTAATCCGAGCGCAAACGCAAATAGGTCACATGATTAAAAGCTTTTACGGCGAGGGGTTTTTACGCCGTTTTTACGGTAGTGGAGTCTTAGCCTCACTGAAATTATTTAAATTGTCAAAGCCATTCTTATTCCACACACTAATTTTATTTGAAAATAGTAGGAAGCCAACAAAACAATTTTTGCATTTTTATGCATCCACAAAGCCATTTTATGTCTTTGTAAATTTTATCACAAAAATGTCAAACAAATTTTTTTGATGAAGTGTTTATATTTAATTTAGGCATTGATCTTTCTCTTTTAATAATGTTTTCTTTTTCATTATATGGTCTTGAGCCAAAAGTTTTTTGAAATAAATTTTCAATATCACAATTACATTTTAAATCGCTAGCCACGATATAAAGGCTAAAATTATAAAATTATAAAAACTTACTTGTTAAAATAAAATGCATGATGGATATACAATTATACATATATGGTAAAAAATATTCAATAGTATGAATATACTTTTAAAGAAAATTACAATTAAATATAGTTTTGTGAAGAAATGTACATAAAAATAACATAAAATATTCTTTACTTTTTAAATATTAAAACAATCCACTTAGTTAAAATTGCTTCCTACCAGTGGCTTGTGGATGGAATCAGAGATGATCTTGGTAGGTGTGCAGTGTGTGCATGCATGCCAAATCCCGAGAGTGCTGATACCGGTTAATGCCAAATGCCTCTTTTGTGACATCACTAGTATATCTCAAAGGGCACGACAGGGTTGTTGTAAATTTTAAACGTTTCTCACTATAGCTGTAAAAATCTAAATATGTTAAACTTAATAGTCATTTATTTTCTAACTAATTTGTTTTAGGACTGGGAGTCCACGGAAATTTCCAAAATTTACAACTTTTCAGTCACTCTCATAGAACTGGAAAAATTTCTGTCTTTATTATGTCTAATATTACTAAGAAATCAGTCCCCACTGTACTCAGCTAGAGATTGGTTCGGTTAAGCTTTTGTTTAAGTAAAATTCCGGCTCTTTTGGCAGGATTTTATTTTGTCCCCAATTCCCTAATCACTTAATTATTTAACTACTTCTTAAGTAGAAATAAGTCAAAACTGGTTACTTCATACTTGAATACTTGTAGTCTTGGAAAAGGAGTGGAAAGACAAATTTTTATGACAACGGATACATAAATCATAAATTTAAGGAAAATAAATTCTAGTGCTTTCTCTGTACCTCTTGCATCTCTCTCATTCATTAAATTTAATTGTAAATGACGCTTCCAAAGTAACAGTTAATTTTTTAACATTGTACAAGAATTGTAAATGTTTTTTTCTACATCCCCTTAGAGATGGGATATATGAAATCATAATATCACCGGTTTAACATCGAAATCCATGAGTAATATAAGATGGGAGAGCAGAATAAAAATATCATATTTTAATGGATTTTTTAAAATTCCTGTCAACTATACAGAACTATCATAAAAACATACCAGTAAATTCTTATCGGTTGGGTTAAGTTATAAATCTACTCGTGATTCACATAATCAGGCGAGGGCAGCCAAATATCCAGAAGGCGGGCGGCTAACAGCTCAAAACCAGTCCTGGATAGAATCATTGGAAACATTATACATGTGTAGCTTTCACCAGCTAAACCGGGTGAGGTCGGTGCTCTGTAAAGCACATGCGCAAATGAGTATAATCCAGCTGTTTGGAAGCTGATTATACAGCGCTTCCATTCCGTCACTAATATTCAAAGATACAATAGCAATCTTATCGTTTTTTTCACATGTAGTATAGAAATTTGTAATAAGATATATAATGCAGTTATAATAAAATATTAATTCTAATTATATGAAAATAACTGCACAATATATATTTATTTTTTAGAAAATGCAATGGAAGTGGCACTTCCACCACTTCCAATGACGGCATGCCACTGTGCCATACATAGCTACTGCTCTAAATTTAGATTTTATTGGAATCTAAATCAAATGATCACTATAATTAATCATGCTATTTTATGCTACAATTAATAATTATAAATTAAGTAATTTGGTACTAGAGGTAGATGTTTGGCATAATTGTAACATAAAATAGCCTGATTATTTACAGCAATTGTATGGTTTAGTATTAATATTGGGCTTCAGGATGTTACATATATTGGAATCTATGTTCAATATTAAGCCTCAGTGCAAGAATCTGTCACAGTAGTTTTTCTGAGATCTAAATCCTGCATACCTGAAGTTGGAATTCACTCGATGATTAGACTAATTCTACCGAATATCATTTTCTCCAGCAGATAAAAAAGAATCAGTTATAATAACAAATTACAATAATTACGAAGAAAGATTTGCAAAATAAAGAAAGCTGAAAGTGAATTTAAAATGAAAATAAATTTTAGTGAATATTTGATAACTTAATAAACTACATAATGTTTATATTTAGTTTTTTATACTATTTAATTATAGTTAGTAAATTAGTATGGTTTTAGAATACAGTAGACTCCCTATAACATGGTAGATACGTTCTGTTTTATACGAATTCCATGTTGTACAAGTCACTTAAATACATGACCCAATCACAGCCTGGCACGTGTGCAGTTTAGCGGCTATGGCTGTTTGAAAGGTTTTCTTCCATAAAATTAATCGATTCTAGACTAATTTGACTCAACATTTCCAAACCACGTATAATTTTTTGGGAATAATCCATATAAACTATGCTATAAACAAAAAATTGTGTGCACCGAGTGCACACCGTTTGAAGATGCCATTGCTTAAGCTTGTTTTTGTCGCGGCTCATCGAACGGCGAATGTGTTTCCTGATAAGTTATTCTAAAAAATTTTTTGAGCAATACAAAAAAATATCTTCATAATATTGATGTAAAATATATATTCTGCATACTGACTATATAGCTGATATCTACTTACATAAGTTTGGGATATATATATATATATAATAAAATAATAGAAAAAATGAAAAAATTATGATCTTCATGTAGCATTTTCTTAAGTACAAATTGATTGAGTCAATATTAAAATTTATCAGAAGATATTAATCTGTTAAAATTAGGTCTGTAGAAACTTTTTATTTTATTAAAATATTTTTATTATACTGTGTTAATTTTTTTCCATAGAATTGATTTATCAAGAGGTTTTGGAATATGAACAGACACACAATACATTAGGAATAGCTTTAAATTCAGGACGATCTCATCATAATTCACAAACAGGTAATTAAAGTTTTTATTATGTTGTTAGTGATTTAATTTAAAACTGTTTTAGTACATAAAATACATGTTTACCTCAAATATTTTGTGAAATTTATAATAGTCGTGTGAACAATATCTGTTAATACAGTAGCCCCTGTATATATCACTCATTTAGATATATAGTGCTTTATTTATCTTTCAATATGACAGTGTCTTAGCCAATAATGTTTAAAAATTTGGTTGCTGTAGAATTTCTACTGGCAAAGAATATTACCTTACACTAATCATTAACATTGAAATTACCATTATATGAAATACAACCCACAAAAAGAAAATTGGTATGGAGATCAAAAGTAGACAAATCAGGTAAATAAATACATTGTTATATAGTTCTATCTAATATATCACTCATTTGGTTTGTTTCCTGACATTTGCGATATAACAAGGGTCTCCTGTATTAGTTTGAGATGATGTTTTGCTAAATAGAAGTTATGAGAAAAAATTTTTTTAATAGAAATGTCTGCAATAAATAAAACTATCAAAGATAATTTTAAAAGCTATCTTATAATAATGCATGTATGTCTTTGACTATCTTAAATGGTCAACTTTAGATTCTAGAATTCAATACCAAAAGAGGACATTTGAGAAAGTCAAAAACATTTGTTCATTAAAAAGTTTTATTTTATATTTTTGACTACAGCAAAATTGTATATTTATATAATATAACTATTATTAAACACAATCAGCTTCAGTATCAACTTTAAGGAAAGCAGTTTAAGGATGAAGCTGTTACAGAATAATAAGGAATAATAAAGATAACTATTTTACAGGGTGTCATGTAACTGACAGTACAAATGGGAAGGTGGTGGATTCTACATGAAATCCTGAATTGAAAATATAGAACAAAAATTTTTCATAAGAAGCTCTGTTTTCGAGAAAAATGGCTGAAAGTTTATTGAATATGCGTGCATTTGATCAGGATTTAATTCACTGGATGTTGCTGTATGCTGTTTTTACTTTTGTATGTTTTTAAGCATTGTTGTGTTACTTGATATATTTGTAAACACTGTTCATATTATTATTTGTTTTTTTTTTATCATTCTTACTCTTTTCTTATGATTATCATGTATAGTGGTGACATACCAAATATTGAAAAGTTAAAAGAAAAATTATTATAGCATATAAAAATTGAAACTGCAAAATTATACATAGAAAATGTTTGTAGAAATTTAATAAGATCACAGTTATGTGTGTAACAATGTGGACATCATTTCCAACAATTCTTAAATTAAAAAATTTCCTGAAAAGTAAACATTTTGCCTTATTCTGTGCCCTCTCTAATTAATTCATTTGATGCATACAAACATTGGAAACATTGGGTTATAAGTGTTAGTAGAGCTAGTGTGATATATTGATAGCACATGGTGATAGGATCTAACAAAGAGATGGGCAAGAAAAGAAACTACAAAAGAAACATACTTTATTTCACCCGTGGTTTTACACTTTGCAGGATTTTTATAGATTCTGACACTCCTCGCTAGAATTCTAGTACAAACAATTCACCAGATACACAGGCAGAACCGTAAAATGCAACTCTCACGACAAAAAAATATGCCTGAAAATATCTGCCATGGTATAAAGAAAACGTATCTAAAAAACTTAAGAGCTACTTATACTAAAAAGGAAGGAAGGAAAAAGATAGAATACAGGACAGAAAAAAAATCTATAGTGCAAGATAAGAACAGGTACCCAAGATAGTCGATGGTCTCATGGTGGTTGTGGTGGCCAAGATGATGAGGGACAAATGTGGGTAGAATTCAATCAAAAAAAACTTCTTACACCTTTCCAGAAGTCCTTATCTCTGAATACTCAATTCCTCTCGATCATTAGTATTAACATTGAGGTACTATATACTCACTCAGCAGTATGTAAATAAAATAAAAAAAAACACAACACCTTAATTTGCTGAGAAATTTAATAATTTTTTTTTTTAATACATAAAAAATATAAATTCGACTTTTAACAAAGCTAAAAACTTTGTACTTGTCCTAAATTTTTTTTTTATTTTTTAGTTAGGAAGAAACCATAAGTTAATACTATCTCTCCAGTCGATAACAATCTTGAGAATACTACAACGTGTCTTCTCACTTTGATGTCCCAACCAAAAAGTGGCCCTCCTTGTCTTTTCTCTTGCCCTCAGGGTCACCCCTCTCCTTTGTCTTCTAACTAGGTCACTCACCAATGACACTTCAAAGAAGTTCTTAGAAAATTATATATATAAAGGAGCCAAGAACAAAGAAGGATAGGAAGAAGCATACATATACTATTAAAGATACATACAAACTTATAAAATATAATGGTGAACTACCACACTAGTTTATATGAAATCCATTGAGTTGAATCTTGATTCATTGCATGCGTACTTGATAAACTTTCAAAGCCATTTTTCTCAGAAACAAAGTCTTGTATGAAAAAATTTATTCTATATTTTTGATTCAGTATTTCATATAGAACACCACCTTTCCACTTGTACCGCCAGTTATATGACACCCTGTATATAAGATGAAAACTTCTCCCTTATATGCTATTTTTATCTCATATGAAAAAAGTAAATTTGAAATTAATTCAAAATATATATTTTGCAATGATTTTTTTTTTTAATGTGAAACTTAACATTGAGTTGAATGGTTTCAAAATTTTCCTAACACTTAGCAATAAAATATCGTGTACCCCTGTATAACACATTCCCCTGTAATGGAGATTCATATAACATGACAAAAAACTTGAGACAATACTTATAAATACAATAAACACTTCTGTATAGCATGTTAGATAAATTTAATATTTTGACACACTTTTTGATTTTTTTTGTTTAGAAATGCTGTATACTTCTTAAATACCTTGGGGTGATGATGTTGAAAATACCTTGGGGTGATGATGCTCATTCTTGATTGTGTATCAATGTATCTTATCCCCTGAGATAGAGTTTGTCTTCAAAATGTGCACCCATAGACGAGGAAGTATCCATTGAACTGAAGTATCTGCAAGCTTAGGTATATCCATTGGCACTAGATAAGGGATAATATTCTGTTGAGGGACTGGTGATGACTGCCTAAACTTGCAGTTTCTGGCTATATTGACTTGGAGAAATCGAGATAGTAGGTCGGGAGGTTATGAGAAAGTGTTGCTTGTACTGCTGAGAACTTAACAAATGATTTACTCTCAGGTAAGTTACCTGAGAGTAAATCATTTGTCTCATGAAAGTTGATGTTACGACATTAAATTGTTTACATTGAAGTCTGAATTCTCTCACAAATTTTCATTTATCAGTCCTTTACAAGAAAGATCATTGATTATTTTTAATATTTCTTAAAGTAAAAAATTAGAATCACATAAAGCCAACAAAAAGTTTTATAAAAGAAATAATAACTTAACTTAGAATTTAAGTTCAGATAGCCTACTTGTTTTGTATTCAAAATAAAAAACAGCATTAAAAAAATTATAATTGAAATTATTAATTTCCAAATTTAAATATTAAACAGGATAAGATTAATGTAATATAAATTTTAGTTTTCTAGTTTTAAATAATATAAAACTATAAAAATATGACAATTTTTTTGGTTGCATCAGTTTTTCATCCTACCAAATTGTTTAAAACAGCGATTTTCAACCCGGGTACGCAATAGGTTGTTTAGGGATACAGAAAAAAGTTAGTTATTATGGCAGACAAAGATAGTATCACAAATTAATAGTATTAAAAAATTATTAGGTAAAAAATGTTCCTTGCAACAATCACAAACTTTATTATACATTTCAAGATGCAAAAATAGAAATAAAAACTTATGCTGCCAATTGTACAATGCAACAGATCAATAAATGTTGCACAGTTGGTCAATGGTAGTGGGGATAACATTATGTGTGATTAGTGATTATGCTATGGACTTTTGATGGTGGAGTATGTTACTGTTATTCTTATTATCTCTCAACAATATCCCCACGTGTTGTTTGAAAAAGTATTCTTTTGTTTATAAAAAGTATTTTTTATTGTTAGCAAGAAAAAGGACATAGCTAGTTTCTCCAGATTTTCTCTGCAAGCTGTAATTTTTTTCATTATTTATTCATTATTTATTCAGTATTTTTATTAATTTTTTATTGACAAGACTGTCTTGTTTATAAAATCGTACTGCCTGCTGTGTTACCAGCTTAGAGGTATGAAGGAGTACATGTGAAAAGTTGCAATTTGGCACAAAGTATTAGGTGCCCAAATCATGTGTGCATAAAAAAAACCAGACTTGTAGGTACTCTGGGGACCAAGAACCGAATCAAAATAAAATTCAGAATGGCGACACTCTCTACAAACAGGCAGTGCGAGATTTGAGCATGCATTGTTTGTTGGGAAGTTGGAAATGCCATTGGGGTACGCTGATGAAAAATGGTTGGGAACAGCTGGTTTAAAAAAAAGAAGAAAAAAAAAAAGATTATTTTCTCTTAGCTCTTGGTTGTTAACGAAATGAAAGCCAGCTTATTGTTTTTATACATTCTTGTTCTAGTGAAAAATTTGAAATAAAATTTTGATGATTAAATTTTTGCAGATCTTGGGCATTTTAAATTGATAATTTTGTGTACTTTAAGCAAAAAGATCATGAAAGTTTAACGTAACAAAATGTTTAATAGTTAGTTTAATTGCCTGTGTTTGTGCCAAAAAATAAAGTTTGCTTCATAATAATTGATTATATAGCAGGGGTGCCCAGACTTTTTGATGTAAGAGCCCTAGTTACCTAACTGAAAATATTGGGAGCTGCAGCTAAAATTCTTGGTATAAAAATAAAAAATAAAAATTTCAGAATCATAATGTGTTTATTCTGACAATTTTTACATATTACATTTTTTTATTTACTCTTTGCTAGTTGAAGATTTATGAATTTGTAATATTGAAATTAATTTTTGATAATCAGGTTCATAATTAGAAATTGAACTTCTTATTAATTCTTTTAGATATTGGCTGGTTAACTGTGAATGAA